TACAACTGCTCATTCAGAATTGTCGTCATTTGATCTAAATGATGGCTCCATGGAAGACCCTGTCCAAACGTTTGTCTTTAGTTTGCCAGACAGAGAATTCTCATTCACTGAAAGTATTTATAGACAAATGTTTTAGTTTTATCCTACCTGAAGCAACAGACAACATCTGGGTCAAATAATAGACTAACCAAAAATTCGTCAGAAAGGCTGGAGAATGAGATGTTACACAAGAATTTTGAAAAGCACTGATATATTTCTTGGAGTCTATAGGGCCACATATATAACCCAGTGTTCTATACATCTTCAGGAAAGACCAGAGTAAGCCCTATTTTCTCACCTCTGGTTGTTCTTGAGGGTTTATACAAGCAGGAAGTGAATACCAAGGCAGAATTATAAGCAGCCTGGCTGAATGTTGAAAGCGTAGCCTGAACTGCACACAGAACTATATTGCAAAGATAATCGCTTGGGTTTTTTGTTTTTGTTTGTTTCTTTTCCTCAGGTGTTTAAGGAAAATTCTGTCTAGTCATTAGGTGATCACTCAACTAACAAAACAGAGACTCCTAGGGCCTAAACTTAAAAAGGATACAGACTTACAGCATCAAATGAGAAGACTCACTTTTGCAAAAATGACATCTTATGTAAAGGCATCCTCAATGTAATTGGCCCTTAACCAGTCTTCAAGAATCAAACCAGAAGGCAGTTGGATATCATATGCAAAGTTTTGAAAAGAAAAGGGTTTGCTAAGAATCCTATATCCATCAAAACTATCCTTCAAAATTTATGTAGAAATCAAATATCTTTAGAAAAACAAAAACTTGTCATTAGCAGACCTGGTCTACAAAAACTCTAAAGGGTATCTTCAGATATCTTTACTGTTGTTTATTTCTTCCAGTGAATCTGAGTAATTAATCAGGGTCCTTTCATCTCAGTCTGAAGAGATAGGGTCACCTGATGTTGAATTAAATAAATTCTTTCTTCATAAAGTGTCCAGTTTCAGGTGTTTTGTAACAGCAGCAGGAAATATACTAATGTAATTTTTACTATTTATAACTAAATATTTTAAAAATATTTTCTTAGTGTTTGTCTTGCAGATTAAAGTTTTAACAATCTAGCTTGCACTATTGATGACTAAATATTAATAATATGTGAACATTTTGCTTCTATACAGCTCCATCCTCCCTTTTTATGCTGCTATATCACAACTTATATCATTATACAGATATATAATTACTGCCTTATGCACCTATGTTTCAAATCTGATAGGAAGAAAAGGAGTTAAAATAATAATTATATTTATATTGTCTTTTTTATTTACCTATATAGTATAAATATAATTAGAAAATACTTGACTTAAAATGTATATATGTATCAAATATCACATAGTACCACATGGATATATACAATTTTATATGTCAATTTATTTAAAAACTTTAAGATAACTTATGGACTATGACACAGACATTTTTCAAAGAGAAATTTGTACCTGTGGATACCTATGTTAAATAGAGAAAATTCACTGGACATAACTTTCCTATGTTCATATTTGAATACATTACCGGTGTAACTTCACATCATGTGCAACCACAAAGATGGGAAGTTATACTCCATGTATATATGATATGTACAAATACATACTACTGTAGAATAACTAAAAAGAACAAATATAAATTTTTAAAAAATGAAAACTGATCTCAAGTCAGTAACCTAACCCCTTCCTCCTTAAAAAGTAGAAAAGTGGAAACTAAACTCAAAGCAACAAGAAACAATAAATGTTAGAGCAGAGATAAATGGAATAGAGAATAAAAATAAAAATAGATAATATAAATATTGAACCACAGCTGGTTTTTAAAAGATAAACAAAATTTCCTTTAATTAGAAAGAGTAAGAAAAGAAGGAAGAGGAGGAGGAGGAGATGATGACAATGGCTCAGGAGGCTGAGGCAAGAGGATCACAAGTACAAAGCCAGCCTCAGCAACGCAGCAAAGCCCTAAGGAGCTTAGCAAGAACCTCTATCAAAGTAAAAATTAAAAATAAAATATAAAGGGCTGGGATGTGGCTCAGTGATTAAGGGCTTCTGAGTTTGATCCCTGGTACAAAAATAAATAAGTAAGTAAAGAAGGAAGAAGAAGACTTGAATTTCTAAAACCAGGAAAACAAGAGGGAACATTACAACTCAACTTACAGGGAAACACTAACAAGGGCATTCAATCGTTCTATGCCATATTATCAAGATACCAGAGGAAGAAATCATCAGGAAGAAAATAAACAAAGATTAATATTCCTTGGGAATATAAACACAAATATCCTCAACAGAATATAAACAAAGTGAGGCCAGACACATTTAAAAAGGGTTACACCACAGTGGTGTAGACAAAGGGGAATGAAGGGAAGAGAGGAGGGATGGGATAGGGAAAGGCAGCGGAATGAACCGGACCTATCATTTCTATGTTCATATATGAATACACCACAGTGAATCTCAATATCAAGTTCATCCACAACATACTAATTAAGAAAGAATAAAATGGTAAGTAAATAGCAGAAAGATCCATAGATCAGAGGGAAGAGAACGGGTAGGAAGTAAGAGAGGGGAAGGGAATTACTGCAGACTGAATAAGAATAAATTATATTCCATTCTTTTATAATTATGTCAAAATGAATCCTATTGTTATGTATAACTAGAAGGAACCAATAAATAAATTTAAAAATAAAAAGTATTACATATCACACGCATGTAGGATTTATTGCAAGAATGCACGGTTGGTTCAAAATATAAAAATTAATCAGTGTAATTCAACATTGTTTTCTGGAAAATGGAAAGAAAAAAATGAAAATTATCTCAACAGAAACAGAAAAACTTTTGATAAAATACACAACTCTTTTTTTTTTTTGATGTACCCAATAAACTAGCAATAGAAGAGAATTTCTTCAACTTGATACAAGGTATTTAAGAAATATATAGGTGAAGGACTACAAACATTCTCCTTGACATTAAGAACAAGATACAAATGTCTATTCTCATTCATTCTTTCAACATTATACTGCAGGCAATAGCCACAGCAATTAGGAAAGAAAGAAAAACTTAAAGGCACACAAAGTAAAAGTCAATTTGCAGATGACTTGAACTTCTACATAGAAACTTCCTTTAGTAAACAGCATAAAAATATTAGAGCTATAAAAATAAAATAAAATAAAATAAAAATTGTAGGTACAAAATGCACATACAAAAATCACCACCAATGAAAAATCTGAGCATAAAGTTAAGTAAATCATTCCAATTACATTAGCATCCAAGCAAATAACACATCTATAAAAAATTTCAACAAAGAAGGTGAAAATTTTATACATTGAAGGCAACAGAATGTTGCCAAATGAAAAAAACCATGGAAACATTTTCTATATATCTAGTTTATCTTTAATGGAAAAAAATCCCATGTTTTAAACTTGAAACTCTTAATAGTAGTACTTACCCAATGCAATCTGCAGATTAACTGCAATAACTACCAAAGTTCCAGTAACATTTTTTTTTTGCAGAAAAGTTCAAGCTGATTTTTAAATCATATGAAAATATAAGTGACTACAAATAGCCAAAAAAAACTTGAAAAAGAACAATATGTTGAATAAGAAAGGACCTCAACTTATTGATATGAAAAATAAACCTAAAGCTGGACTATCAAAAATAGTGTGAAACTTGTATATAGGTAGATATAGAGATCATTGGGTTAGAATTGAATGCCCAGAAATAAGACATATAAGTAAAGTTAATTTATTCTCAAAAGAGATCCCATGATGGGGAACAAGCCTTTTTAATAAATAGTGATGGTACATGCAAAAGAATAAATTGGATATTTACCTTATATCATACTCAAAATTTGATATCCAACTTCTTAGCTATGACACCAACTTGTAATCACTATGAAAAAGAATATTTGTTCCCTTCCATTCTCCTCAACATCAGCACAGTATCAGTCCTTTACGGTTTTGCTAGTATTTTGATGATAATAGTTTTTTTTTTTTTTTAAGTATCTCATTATTGCTTTGTATTTCCTTGGCTGATGGTGAATTTAAGTACATTTTCACATAATGAGTAACCTTTCTCATATGTGTACATATAAAATTCTGTCATCTATTTACATATGTGTATATGCGTGTATATGTCTCATATTTATCTACTGTACAAAAGTCTCAAAAGTAAACATCTCATCAGTCTATAGGACTTCTAATAAAATGGGTGATTGTGGCTGTCTTCAGTGCTGATAGCACAACTTACGTCCTGAGTCACCGCCTTCCTTTATTTCAACAAGTGTGACTGTCCTGACCATAGGCAGAAAAACTAGAAACTGAATGAGATTTTATTTTAAACCAACAAGGATATAAAGTATTCTTTGAAAATAGGTATATACTTTTTATAAGGTTTTATTTTTAGAGCCTTGTTTTATTTCATGTATATTCTAAGCTACAATAAGAAAAACAACTATTCTCATAAGGCTGAGCAACCCAGAATTAATTTCATACTTATTTAGTCATACTTGAATGAAGAACTTAATCATAGTTCCATTGTGATCACTTGCGTGTGGGTGTGTGTGACTGGCTCATCTCAGAATGGTTCCAACAGTTGATGAACAAATTAATGCCAGTTGTGTGTCCATTTTTTAATTTATGTTAACAAGCAATGGGTCAATTTAAAGTGCCGAGTTTTCCTCGAAGGTTCTATGTCACTGTTGTCAGTCTCTTTAACCTAAACTAGCTAAAAACAAAACAAAAATATAATTTATACAGAAAAATAATGAAAATTGAAGGCATGTTCAGGAGTCATTACTTCAAAAACTAAAACTATTTAAACACTGTTGCACTGTTTTCTTAAACCAGGTAATTTTGGGGAAATTAAAATGGTACCCAAAGATAGCTTTTAGGAAAAGAAACAATATAAAAACGAACAACTGGTTCTAACACCCTCTTGCTAATACCTTTCGATGTTTTGGTTTCCATCTTTTCTTTTGCAGGAGTAACAACTGTTCTGACAATGACAACTCTGAGCATCAGTGCTCGAAATTCTCTCCCCAAAGTGGCTTATGCTACTGCCATGGACTGGTTTATTGCTGTTTGTTATGCTTTTGTGTTCTCTGCCCTAATTGAATTTGCAACTGTTAATTATTTCACCAAAAGAGGATGGGCTTGGGATGGGAAGAGTGTAGTAAATGACAAGGTAAGTGAGAACTCCCTTCTGATCTTAATAGAATCCCCTAACACATCTGCCTTGTGGCAGATATTAATTTGACATTAAGGAAATTCATATATGTATATGATTCATATATGGTTGTGTATCACATCAGTGTTTACCAAAGTATTTTCTTGCCTGAAATCCTTTAGGAGTGCCTATAGCAGTAGTAACACTTGTTAAAACCACTCTCCAGCGTCTGTTGAGCTCTATGTGTCAGACACTGTGCTAAGATTTTACATATGCTCTCTCAACATAATCTTTACAGCCATCTTAAAACTAGGGTCTTTCCTTAATTCTCATTTTTTACTGATGAAGAATCTGAAGCTTAGTAAAGTTACTTACTTGACCATGCTCACACAGCTGGTTAGTAAGTGTACTCGAATCCAGATCTGTCTATTTGACCATCAAGTTCATGCTGTTAAATCACTACACTGAATAAGGGGAGAGATTGTGAAAAGAAAATGGGAACTAACTTCACTGTAATAGAATTCCAGGTTCTATCAATGGGATGAGTATCCTTCACTTCTTCCCATCTTTGTCACTTGGTTGTAAAAGCCCAAATAGAATTCATATCTTCCCCATACTATGTGGAATAAATATGTAGGTGCTAGAATACCTAGGAATTTAAATTGCTCATATAGTCTAAATGGGAAAAGTTATTTGCTTTTAAGATTAACTTATTTTAGTATTATTCGTTTTCATATTTTAGGTTGCAAGTAATGAAGCTAGTGGGTATTTTGTTCTTTGATACAATAATTGTTTCCTTAAGAGAAGGCTTTGGATTATAATAAGACATAAAATATTCTTAATAATAGTAGAGACTTCTACTTGGAGAATTTCTTTCAACTCTATGTCTACTAAATTTATTTCTTTAAATTTAGAATAACATTTGCTGATTTTATTTCTTCTTTAATTATTTGAATGTATATTTTTTCATTTCTATCACATAAAGCCCTTTAAACATACATATAATGATTGTTTTAGTTGAAAAGTCTTGCTTCTTTGTCCTAAATTTCATCATCTATAGAAGTTTTACAGAGTGTTGCTTTATTTCATTTTATCAACTCTTCTTCTGGCCTACTAACAGATACAATTAATACATATTAAAAAGTATCTGATCAATTTTCTATGCTTAACTTCTAGGCTATTTCAGCATTTCTATTATATTTTATGGTTGATTTATGTTTTCATTTCCCATATAGTGTAAAACTTTTCATTTTATCTATGCAATTACTTCTTTTTAGCTGCATTAGTCACACATGCTCTTTTGTACTAACATTTTAAGATAGAATATAAATATGTTACAAAAGATAAATTATAAAGTTTTGTTGTAAGATTTTATTTAGTGTATTATTTTCAATACTTGGTGGTGCCAATCAAGTTGACATTTTGATTAGGCCTATCAAATAATTACCTTCTCAACTCTTCCACTTGAAAACTGAAGTCCTGATAAATTAAAAAAAAAAAACTTCTTAATAATTTTTAAATGCAATAACCTAGTACTAACCAATACTGGATTTGTCTGCCCACATAGACAAGATAAATCTGTGTTGAAATTGTTGATGTTCAAATCTAATATTGAAGAAAGCAACTAACATCATTACTTTAGTTCTGAGGTTTACTTAGAATAACACAACAGGCATGTTGCTTGTTTGTACTGGCTTCTCCTCAGGTAGAGTGACTAACACAGTGCCTGACACTGAGACACTTCAAAAATATTTGTTGAATAAATGAATTCCTGATCTTAAATCCAACGAGAGGACTCCTTTGCCTTCATGAAAATGTTTTAAACATTTTACAACAGTGAATTTAAAAGTGGGTTCTCTATCCAATTTCATGATGCACATGAATTTTGAGAGAGATTTCCTAAACTTACCTTAGGGAAAAAACAGGTTCTTAGAACTGAGAGGAAATTAATTAGAAGTCCTAAAGATGGCCTATCTGCCAAAAAGAAATTTCAATGCAGTCTACCTCTGATTTAAAGAGTTCTGTACCTGGCCCATTATTGGTGTCCTTTTAGACTAACATGTCTGAAAGAAGTCTTTTGCTTTTGTGAACATAAGTAGATACAATTAAATTATCTGTCAATAAAAAGAGCATAAGAAAACTTAAAATTTGTAAAATAGCAAGTATCAATTGCCCTCACAAGGAAAACTACTCAGAGATGGGTTTGCTGGTACACACCTGTAATCCCATTGATTTAGGAGCGTGAAGCAGGAGGATCACAAATTTGAGGCCAGTCTCAGAACTTAGTAAGGCCCTCAACAACTTGGTGATCTTATGTCTCAAAATGAAAAATAAAAAGATCTAGAGATATAGCTCAATGGCCAAGCACCCTAGGTTCAATACCCAATACTACACCCTCAATATATAATATATATATATATATATACACACACACACACACACACACACATATATACACACATATATATACACACATACACACACTTCTCAGAGCTATAAATTGATTGTGTATTTTTATAAACAGTAAATATATTTTTAACATATTTAAACATGGATTTAACAATCCACTGTTTGCTTGTAGATTGTGTCATGTTGATTTTTATAGATTTTTTTTTTGCAACTAAACTAGCAGGTTTAGTAGGTTCACTCCTTTATGTTCAAGTTTCTTTTGAGCCCTGTATTAGAAAATAGAGTCTACCTTGCTCTCTTAGTGTGGAAAGGACTTTATATTATTTTTAGCCTCGTTTGTGAAACTGAACAATAATACTTGATCAATTTAAATCTGTTTTGCTGGATGAAAGAATCCAACTCTAAATTTTTATGCCCTTCTGTATACAAAAATACCTATCTATGCAATTTCCAAATACTTCTAGAATCTTCCTTCACATACAATTTTTCTTCTTTAGTCCAAGACTAATTCTACCCTTCCAGCTCTTCAATCTTTTCTGTCTGTGATTTTTATCAAACTTGTTCCATCAGTTATGGTTTTTTTCTCTTATTTCATCAAAATAATCTTTTCCATTTTATGTCTTTCTTTTAGCCTGTGAAAATACTTAATATGCTTAATTTTCCATAAAATCAACAACAGCACTCCCTCCTAAGATTCTACCTTCATTTCTCCACTCAAACTTTGAAAGAAAATTGCCTACTTTCAGTTTAATTCTTAGTCTACTGTAATCTGATTTTCCCCCATTTACTATCCTGTAACTGAGGGGCACAAGTAGCCTCCATATTTAAGTCTAGATAATTTTCCATTTTTCTCTAGGGATCTTATTGAACCTTTCTGCTGTTATGCCCCAGGACTCTATTTCAGGGGCAGCCCTGAAACTTTTTGTCTTCTTAAAACAGAATTCAGAATACCAGCTTCCTTCCCTCATATCCTGGAAGGTGCCATGATTCATTCTGTGTTTTTATATTCTCTGCCAGAGTTCACGGTGGATCCAGCCTTTCTAGCATATGTTCCTATTTATTCCCAAAGACAGTCCTTTCAGCTTTCTTTGATGCTGCTTAAGCTTTACTTTTTACTGTGAGGTCCCCTATTTAAGAATATTGCTGACAATATTTTGAGGATTATCTGCATCAGTAAGCATACTTCCCAGCCATTTGCTATTCCCAACCAGCTCATCCCTAGCCCATATGTCAATTCCTCAGGAAATTTCTCAGCACCAGTAGTCCAAAAATAATTAGGACTTCGTAGCAAGTATGTACGCTGCCCTCAAGTTTTCAGTAGACCCCTTACCATAGTTTGTAATTGCATATTATTTTTAGCTCCTTCACCAATCATAATAATGATAATGATGTTGATTTTAATAAATTATTTTTTTGTCCTTTGCACAGTATTTTGCATATATTAAAGCCCTGAGCCCTCTTGCAATAATCTTTTCTCTTTTCTTCCTTGAATACCAAATTCCTTTTTATTCCTTAAGATCTATCTGATATTATTTAACCTAAAAACTTTCCAGACTAATATAATAGACATCTCCCATTGTATTTCCACAGCACTTGGCACAAATTCCTTTTATAACATCTCATTAATCTCTAGTTTTATTGTCAGTAAATCTTTTTCTATCACTAGGTTACAATATATGAGGGAAAATAAGTTTTGTTTTATTAATTATTGTATCTGCTCTAGCACAGCATCTGGCACATAGCTTAATTGAGTTATAGTTTTTTTAAAATTCATTAACTTTAATTTCTTAAGATTGCTTCCATAAATCTGGGGCAGTAATTCTAAACTGGGTAAGAAAAATATGGAATACAGAGATAAAAAATTACCGGCAATATAGACATATCAACATACTATTCAAACTCTTTTGGAATGTGCCATTGTTTTCTGAGTCACTTTAATTCATAGAAAACATCACATTTTTCAAGTGTATTTATTTATTTATTTCCATTTTAAACATCGTGTCTTGTTCCAAAAGAATTTCAGGCAGTTTAACAAAGAATGCATGTTTTTAAACTATAATTAACTAAAATAGAAATAGAAAACCAGGATGAAGGAAAGTAGGTTCCGACATATCCACCAATGGGCCAACATTAGCTTGCAGTCCACAGCTATAGTAGTAGAGGTTCAATTTCTAAGCTTCTTGGTAACAAATGTAACACATGGGGGGAGTTATTTTTTCATTAATCAAATAATGATAACAAATTTTCTCAGATAAAAGCTTTTTCTTATCCTGAAGTTGCTTTTTAAAAATCAAAATGCCACGTGGGGTTTATCATAGGGAAAACTGGTTACTGTAGCAAGTGATGTCAAATTTTTCCCAGTAAACTCAGTAATGAATTTCATATTGATGTTTCTTGTAGTCCCCTTCAATAAAAGCTGAAGGCATTATATTAACATACAACTCAGTGAAGGCAATTCTTCAAGGCGCTAAACTAATATGGTCCAAGTATGTAGCTTTCTCATGGCCCAGTTTAATCCAAGGAAAAACTTTAGAGTACTTAGAGAAGTGGATGGACTGTTTAACCTTCAAACAATATTCTGTAAGTATCACTTTTCTTAGTCAGGGTGGTTAGCAGACAGTTGGCCATAGATTATCTGGCCAGGAAGCATGTTGTTGTTTTACAAATAACAGGCTTCTTAGCAGCCTCAGTAACTGTAAAAAGGCAACATGGAATGGAAGAACATAAATTTGTACTTTGGAGACCTGGGTTTTCTCCAAAGCTTGTTAATGCAGTGTTTGATATAAAAAGCCCATTTTTTTTTAAATCATAAAGAACAATTTCTGAGACACTCTCCAACTTTGGAACCATGCAATTATTATTTTCATTCATTTAACATGTCATATCATTAGTGTATACATCATAGGTAGGTCATTTGCTCAAATTATTTAGGACATTATTTTCCCTACTACAGAAAGAAGGGCAAATTTGGTTTGCCACCATTGTGTAAGACATTTTGACTTCTGTAGTCAGGAAGTTACCTGACCTGACATTTTAAATATGTATTGAGAGACTCTAATATTGTAATAAACTAAAAATATTCTGAATCTTATAAAACATCTAGAATGTTGAAAATGAATCATTATGTGTTACATTCCCTTTTTATTCCACTTCACTGACAACTGAATTGTCAGCAAACTACATAACAGCATAGTTTACACTTTTACCCCCACCAAGTGTATAAAGATGTCATTTATTAATTTCATTTGTAAACCCAATTCCACTCCCTTCTTCATTATGTGGGCCCCAGTCACAAATAAAAAGTCCATGGCATTATTTTTTGATTGAGCTTATTTTATTATCTTCCACTCTTCTATGTCTCTAGATGGTAAAATTCAGGACTCTGGGGATAATTTACATAATAGAATTGTAGAAAAGCAATTGAATTCTGTTTCTACCAATCTAAAAAAGATTTTATTGTTTCTTATAAACATAGTCTCTTATGTTATACTTTACATTGTCTATATGCATTTTATCATAATAATCATTCAAGTAACTATCATTCACTTATCATTATGCAAATGTTTTTTGATTCTGCTCTGTGCCAGGAACTATGCTAGGAGCTTTGCAGCATCTAGTTTGTGCCTTCAAGGAGCTTACAATTAAGTGAAGGGAAAAAGATAGAGAGAGAGAGAAACTACACATGTGCAATATAGAGATAAGTGCCAGAGTGCTGTGGAAAGGAATAGAAGGGCTACATAATACCAGCAACAGGAAGTGACATCTCAATACATATGACTCACAACTGAGTCAGTGTTAGTCTGGTGATGGTAAGAAAATAAAATGTCTCTGATGGGAGGACCAGTGTAAAGTTAATTACCAGTTCCTGTGGAATTATGGTACCATTCACAGGTCAAGGAGAATGGAATGATATACAGACTTGGGCAGAAAGTAAGAGCATTTAGGCTAAGTGTATTTCTAGATAGTTTATATTTTAATTACCTGAGGTATGTGTAGGTGGGGAAGTGAAGTGAAACATAGTGGTTAAGAATTCGGGGTGGGGATGGGGGTGGGGGCTGGGATTGTGGCTCAGAGGTAGAGTGCTTGCCTAACATGCGTGAGGCACCGGGTTTGATCCTCAGCATATAAAATTTTATATAAAAAATAAATATATTGTGTGCACCTATTACTAAAAAATAAATATTAAAAAAAGGATTCGGGAGATATTTTAATAGTCATCCATGTATAGGCATCAAAAAATCATGAATTATTCAACAGTAAAAGAAGATAGCATTGTCAGTCTATCTTGATTTTCCTTCTAGTTTATTCCAATTTTTACTTTTAATGTTACTTTTAAATTTTTACTTCAGAAACCCACTCTATGTGTGTGTGTTTATGTGTGTGTGTGTGTGTGTGTGTGTATATATATATGTATATATATATATATACATATATATATATATATATATTCTTCCATAGCTGCCTTATCCTCCAAGTGATATGAAGTGGCTTATTTAAGTGTCTTAAAATAGACATACAGCATCGGATTAAATTAGATTATGGAACATTAGGTAGTAAGAACTACTAGAACTTTCCTACTTCTCAAATGAAAATTTTATAAGGGCATTAAAAAGTGGCTTTCTGGCAGTGAGTACTCTTTTGAACAGTGAACACAACAAAGGTTTCATTGTACTATTTTTATTCAAGGGTCTGCAAACTAAGGGTTATGCTAAGAAGGGAAATTAGTTTGGAGAGGTCAAAGTCTTGTGGCCCAAGTATTCAGCCTACTGATGGTCTGGCTTGATCCAGGGCATGCATGATATTCAAAGAGCTCTTTACAGTAAAATTTCTCTCAACATGGTCCTTTTTAATAGAATTCTGTATTGAATAGGATAAGGTAATATCTCCTAGTAATGGCTTAAGGTTATGTCTATTCTTTGGTACTATCACTGTCAAATCTGTCTTATAAAGAACAATAATAAAATTAATCTGAATGCTCTGTTTTAGGTTATCTTAAAATTATTAAGTCATCTGTGAATTCAATAGTATTTTTCCTCTGTGCACATTTAATTTTAAACCAAAAAAAAACAGTGCTTGACTGTAGATCTGTGATTATTATTTTCAAATGGACTGAGGGAAAGTATTTTCTCCTTTTATACAAGATTTTGTAAGATCCTGAGCCAGGAAAGCTTTTTTTGTGCTAGGAATTGAGGAGATGTGGCACCATATGGGGGCTCTGCCTTTCATTCAGTGAACTGGTAAGAAATTACAGGTGCCAGCCCTGGATCTTGACTGAAGATAGACCATATGGCTTTTACACTTTCCTTGATATTGGTCCTGAAAATGGTAAAGTTTCCAAGTTCCAAGGGAGCATTTTGAAGCCAACACCATCTCGAGTGTTTAATGCTAAGCCCTTCTCTACTTATATTCAGGTTTTGAAGCCATATTTTGAATAATGAAGAAAAACTAAGGTGAATTCTGTCCTTAACTAGCTCACTGAGTTTGTTTATAAAACCTTAGTTAGGAAAAAATAAGTTTGGAAGTGACTTTTTTTAACACTACTTCTTATAGAAACCACAGTGTTATTATGGAACAAAAACCACTGCTAACATATAAATATGCAGGGCTGATATTTGGTGAACCAGCTGGTAGATCTCTTCAAATTATTTACCACTAATGTCCACTTTGATCGGTCAGAGTATTTATACTGATTACTGGTTAGCTGCTGCTTTCTAAAGTTTGTTAAATGATTTTAGTATGACTTTTTCATATATGTGCAACTGAAGGGTATACAAGTGCAGGGATGTTGGCTTAGAGTTCCTGTCTATAGCCTCCTATTGCAACAAAAAACATTTACATTGTATGATTCTTTGTCTAAATGTCTAAATCCTAACATAATTCCTGATCCAGCTTAAATGTATCACTTCCACAAAAACTTCATTAAGTTTTTCCACACAATGTTTATGTCTTCTTCCTCCTAATACATAATAAATTGTTATCTATGCATACTGTGTGCCAGCAGTCATTGTCCAAAGTATAATAGTGATCATTGTCTCTACACTCCACTAAGAAAATTTATATTTCTTAATGTGGCTAGAATATATATTAGTTCACTTTTTATTATTATTATTACAGATGTCCAGTGTAGCTTTGTTGTCCTTGTCTCCTTTCTTCAAACCAAAGATGGAAGCAGGAAGACGAGGGAAAGGTTAAAGATCCTTTCCAAGACCCCAATTCTGTACAAGTGCAATGGGATTTCATCATAAATGATGTTTAGAAGTAGTTGAAATAATAGTACAACCCATGGATATTATACCCTTTATGAGTTGCCAAGTTCTTTTTGAAGATTGCCATAGGGATATAAATTTCAACTGGGATATTTTAGGAAAGAAAAAATGTACTCCCAAGTTTCAAACAACTTCCTCAGACAGGTCATTCAGCATAACTTAAAAGCAAAGGTTTGGAAGTCAGACACATCTAATTTGTGACTTTTCAGGCATTTAACAGACAGACTACCTGGTCAGGTCACAAGACCTGGTTAGCCTCCATTTCTGAACTTATTAGGTGGGGTGAAAATGGAAATTGCTTCCTAGCCCAGAGGTGACACTCTGGACCTGACAACCTGACACACTCTAGGGTGGAAAAGTGTTAGCTATTATTTTCTTACTAGAAATACACATGGCAATTAAGCTTCATTTGTAACATGAAACTACACACATCACTAGGAAGGAGAGCTGTTATTTTAGCTTTTATAATGTTCCAAATGGTAATCCCTCGTCCCTTCTTTTATATCTAAGGAGATCTGGAAGAACATCTTGTCAGTAGGAAAAACCCTGCCAATGAAAGCTGGGTAATCCAGACCTGTTTTCATTTTCTTCTGAGCATTCAGAGCTCCTTCCTTATTTTATTTAATTTTAATATTTTCAGAATTCATTATTAAAGTAACTTATTTGTAGTTGTCCTGAAATCTGTGGTCCTACTCTTTTGAATAATTCATAGCTAGCTCAAGTTTCTTTGCATTTAGATAACTCACAATTTACTTATATTGGCATAGAAACAAAGATAAATGCCACTTATGCTTTCAGATTTCATTAATTCACCTATTTATTGGGTGCCTGCCTCATGGAAGGTCTCGTGCTAATTGCCAAGGTTACAGAGATGAACAAGAAAGAAGCAGTTCCAGCTTTCATCACACTTAGATCCTAATGAAAAAAGGAAGATGCCAATCAAATCTAAGAATTTATACACTAAAAAATGTCATCAGTGGAATAAATCTGGATGCTGTGAAAGAATATAGATGATAAACAAAGACTACATTCGATAGAGTGACTAAGGAAAGGTTTTTCTGAGCAAATGACATTTAAACTTGGACTAAAATATGAAAGGGAATTGATCTTGTGAAAAATGTGCTCAGAAGGAGTCATTCCAAGATGGGGAAGTAGTATGGTCTGAGGCAACAAAGTGAGGAAGTATTCAGAAAACTGAAGTTATTTCGGCAAGACTTTCATGTAATGAATAAAGAGAAGTCATGGTGAGAATTGTCATAAGTTTCAGGGGATATTTTTTAAGAAGTTTAAGCATAGGAATGATGTGATCCAATTTATGTTTTAAAGAGATCCCTGTGGCTATAGTGTGTCTAATGACTTAACCAAGGTCAAGCCACTGAGGAAAAGCACAAGGAACTGCTTCATCCAGACAGGAGATAACATAACCCAGGCAAGAGCTGTCAATAGGTGAACTAGCAATTAGAAAATGAAACAGATTGGGGATGAGTTAGGTGAAATCCCAAGAACTGGTATTTCATTCTCCTTACATGGTTTTAGCCAATTTTACACTGCCATCTGCATAAGGTTACAGTTTTCTAGAATCTGAGCAAAGTGTTGCTGTAAGATTTTTAACATAAGGAATTCTGTTATCAAGTTAGAAATATGGGATAATTTATTGTAGATGACCATTCCTCTTATTAAAATATTTCTTCATTTCATTTATTTATTCACTCATTAATTCAACAAATTTTTGAGTGACTCATAGGTAAAATATGTATTGCTTATTATAGTTGTATTTTCCATGAAAACTACAAAATTGATTAAAAAATAACACCATGATTTTAGTCTGAGATAAAATCCTAATGGTTTTAGGATTTAATAAAGTCGTTTCATTTATTTTCCTAAATTCATTTTTTCTAATGGGTAATGATACGTATCAGGATATTTTTCTTCAGAATTTGAACTGAAGTTTGGAAAATTCTAAGTGGCAAGCTCAACCCACACTGTTAATTCTTATATTTTTCAATAGAAAAAAGAAAAAGCTTCTGTCATGATACAGAACAATGCTTATGCGGTGGCTGTTGCCAATTATGCCCCGAATCTTTCAAAAGATCCAGTACTCTCCACCATCTCCAAGAGCGCAACCACGCCAGAACCCAACAAGAAGCCGGAAAACAAGCCAGCAGAAGCCAAGAAAACCTTCAATAGTGTTAGCAAAATTGACAGAATGTCCAGAATAGTTTTCCCAGTTTTGTTTGGTACATTTAATTTAGTTTACTGGGCCACGTATTTAAACAGAGAGCCTGTGTTAGGGGTCAGTCCTTGAATCTAGATACAAGTTATCTTTGGGATGTATAGCAACATTAAACTTGGGTGTTTGGCTCTGTACAGTCTGACTAATAACTGCTAATTTGTGAACCAATATGTACAGTATGTATATAATGATGTAGCTTACCAGTAGACCTTTAATGGAGACACGCATTTGCTAACTCATGGAACTATGGGCAGAAAGCACCCCATGCCAAAAGAGCCATTGTCTTTTTTAAAGATTTCCCCTAGGACTTGGTTTCAAGTGGATTTCAGATAACCTGATATTTCTTTTTTCCTATCCTAATAATGATGAAAGTGGAGATCCTGTATCACCCTTTATGGAACCTTTTGATTTAGGTATTAAATAGGATTATTTTCTACTGTTGCCTATCTATGATATAAGATAGCATTGTCATTCAAAGATGAATACTTCGAAATAGCAGAACCTTATATCTGCAACATCAGTTCCCTTCATGAATGCACAGAATCCCTGCTAATGCAATTGGAAGCTTGACTCAGACACGCAGAAGAAGAAAAACTAGAAATCTGAAATCAGCTTTTACTTATTCTGTATAGTATCTATAGCCATGTACATATTACAGCATGACAAGATCAAACAATTATGAGTCACCCTGACAGGATGTTAATTATGCCTACAATTTCATAACTTTTGGGATGTCATGGTCATTATGTTTTTAGCTTCAGAGTTTATTTGAAAGTAATAATTGGAATTCCACAGCTATTTCAAAATTTTAATCAATGGGGACTACCTTAAATTAAAAGAAAAAAAAAAGAAAACAAATGTGTCATACTCTTTCCAGGTATGTGTTGAACTAAAATGAATCAGCTAAATATTTTATTTTATTCTATCTTATTTATTTATTTTGGTGCTGGAGATTGGAAAGTGAATCCAGTTTGGCTGCTGTGGAGCAACATTCATACTGGATTAGAAAATTGTGCCAAAAACTCCAACTGATGAGAATTCATAGGTGTTCCAGACTATAGCACTTATGTGATTCTCTTCTTTCCTGTTTACTGCAAATTCTGCCTTAAGGCTTCTTTTCATCAGGACTCAGAAGCCACTAATTATAAAGGAAAGGGCAGTTAGTTGGCACATTTTTCTGTCTTGAAAGCATCTCTTTCAGATAAGGATAAATGTAAATCTGCTTTTGTAAATTGCAACTTTAAAGTTCACTGACTCAAATTTACAACAGCTTTGTATACCAGAAGAGGTTTTGGTAAGTATTGAACATTTTTAAACCATAACTTTAAAACATCACCAACAGATTGTGGGTTCACGTGCACAAATATTTGTGTGCACACGCGCACGCGCGCACACACACACACACACACAAGTGCATAACTAAATTCAAAACAAAATTACAATTTTATATTATTGCTAATTATTAGTGGGTAAATTTATTTTCCTTTTACTATTTGAAAATACCATTATGTCCCTGAAATATGCTAATAAAAGTTAACAATTGTGTATCATGCTTAGATTCAAAATTTCTGGCAAATCTAAAATACTTTCAATTGACTTGTACATTAGCAGTTATTAGCTGACTTTTAATAATAGATGCACCTTCACAATGATGTTTTTGTAGAAATACAAATAGTCAAATAGTGACATTTCTTGCAATTTTGTACAGTATTTGAGTATAGTGCAACATAGATATGTTTACAAATCAATAAAAGAGTATCTTATGAAAATAAGCAAAATCTCAACAAAAATTGCTTTTTCTTTGCCTCATTTATTTTTTAATTTATTTTTCATTTTCTTTGTTTTAGTGTGACTCTACTATGTGCTTTGCATGATTGTATTAATACCAAGGTCACAAATGCATCTTTATTAACAGAATTTGCCATGAAGAGAGACTTGACATTAAAAATTCCCTCACAAAAAGTAATTCATAATCCTTAATAAATAAAATACAATTGTTACTTGAGCCAATAAATGTATTTCTTTAAAACCCTTCTAGTGACAAGTTCTTTGTCATTTCAGTAGTTTGAAAATGTGCATTGAAATTGCAGATATTCTATTTTCATACACATTTAAACATATAGGTCTTCTGTGTAGTTTAGGTTTGTGTGCAATAATATGAGAAGGTTCATAATGCTCAAAGGCAAATAATAAAAATGCTTTGTATGGTATGCACTTTAAAATATTTTAGACATTTGCACTTCTCTCTAATGTCTGAATATAAATTATATAATTATAAAATATGTACATATGTAAAAATAGTTGTAAATAACAGTTTCTGTAGGAGAACTGAAAAGATTCATCTGTAACTTGACAAAAGGCTGTGACTACATTGATGGCAACAGTTTTAGAGTGTTTATGGTAGATTGATAGAAAACTTACCTTTATTGTTATTCTTTGAAATAATCTAACAGAATTTTTAACTTCAATCACTAAAATATTATTTGAGCCTAATGATGGTTCCAATGGCTCCAATTTCCCTATAATGTTGTTCATGATGAAAATCATGAACAACATTATAGGGAAATTGGTATATTTACTTTGGTATATTTTTACACCATACTTATTCTTTTAATGTTCAGATAAATCAAAAGGTTTGGCTCTTGCTGGAGAGAGGAAGGATGTTCCATGGTAAAGCATTTTGAAAAACTGAATCAGTGTTTTTAATAACTTCACTTTTCCATAAACCAATTTAAAGACATAAAAATGATATGAATTTGTCACCATAAAGCCAATTTTTCAGAAAACACACTTTATATATTAATATTTGTCTATTTGGCCTTCAAAATAACACATAAATTATTGTATGCAGTTCTACAACAACAAAGAGTTATACTATGTAGAAAATATATATAAATATATATAGAGAGAGAGAGACAGACTCACTATTGCATAATAGATATCAAATAGAGTTATGTATTTGACTTTCTATTCTGTACAATGGCCTGAGATTCATTTTAATATTACACATAGGTTTTAATATTACACATATCACCCTCACATAATTTAGTTGAGAATTAAATCTCACTCTTATAAATACTTAATATCAAAGGCTAAATGAGTCATCACGTAAATTAATTTAATACAGAGAGTTGTTTAATGACCTATGACATCACTACTAGGCTAAGATATTGGCTGTTTTGCCTTCTTTGCTATACATGTTTCTGTTGGTTATAAAAATGGAACTAATCTAACCATTTAATATTTTTTAAACTCCAGTGAGTCTTTTCAAGTGCCAGTGTTAACATTCAGAAATCTTTTTCAGGGATCTCTCTTTGAATTTATCTCAGGATTGAATAAGTGATCCCCTTGAGACACATTGCTAATTTTTTCCCTTAAAAATTTATATCTTATTTTTTAAAACAACACAGAACCTATTATTTTACTCATATGTTTCTTTGGTAAATATATTTGGTAAGAGAGGCAAATTGTTCTCTATATATCACATGTATCTAGGTGACTCTGCTTGTTACTGATTAAGGGAACTGAACTGGGCCATGACATTAGGATGGATTTGTGAAGGGCACCCGAGCTCTATGGGCACTTTACTTTGGAATGACCTGTCATTATTCAATTTAGAGGAGAAATGAAATGGCTCAAGTCACTTTCTATACTGTCATGGTCCTTCTGCACCTGTTAGGAATTTGTTTTCCCGTGTTCCCTACTTGATACCCTCAGGTGCGGTCTGTGAAATATAGAAAATATTTGTTACTTAATTTGAAATCTGGGGCCATATTGATACTAATTGTTCTAACTATTAGTCTTCTGGCACTCTTACATCCGTCTTCAAATTTTTGAGGCAACTGCTAGATTTTTTTTCCATATAAAAAGATTAAGAATTTCGAGGGAATCATGAGCTCACCTATTGCCTTATAGTGCCATTTATTTTCTTTTTTTATTGAGGTTTCATGGATCTTCATGAGCTCTTCAGGCTACACAGAAGCATAAAAGCAAAAGTGAGAAGTGGTGCAGTTATTTTTAACATCTGCATAATTGGGAACCAAGGACACTGTACCAAAACCACTTAGTGTGAACACGATGAATATGATATTTTTCTGTATTGTTCATGATATAAAAATGACTATATTTAATAGAATTATTCATAAAATGATCCTTTGTTAACAAAATTTTTATTAAAGATATTCATATTTCCCATTAGTTTTAAGAGCTCATTCTTTTATGAAATTCAAAGAGAAAAATAGGGAAAGAAATATCAAAGAGAAGAACCCACAGGAATAATGGAGCTAATTAAACCAAGTATAGCATCCTTCCTTTTTAAATCCTAAGAAAGTGGATAAATTAGGAACATATTTGTATATACAGAAATATTTTAACAGTTATGATCTTATCACCATAATCATTATTACTAAAATACTAAGATATAGTTCATGTGAAGGGCCTTTGGGGAGGGTAATGATAAATTATTCAAAATCTATTTCGTACAAGATTTTTAAAAAATTCTTAACTAGGAGCTTATTAGCATATCCATTTCCTTTAGTTGAAATATTTTATTTCTGCTTATTTATATAAAGAGCAGCTCATATAGGTAAGTTATACTCCACCATAAACCACTCTGTGTTGTGCTTGATACATAATAACAGCTAATATTGCCAGTAGGGAAGAACAATTAACACGTGCACTTTTGGCATATGGTGATATTCCCAATGAACCTTTAGTAAGGTCTTAGCTGTGTATGTGTGTGTGTGTGTGTGTGTGTGTGTGTGTGTGTGTGTGTGTGTGTAATTCCCAGGTGTATAAGAATGAGCATTTTGAGAAATTCTGATAAGTTCATAATATCCAAACTATTTTTTAATTAATGAATCCAATCACACATGTATCTTTTGTTAAAATAGCAATTAATTCAGTCAATGGAATTCCTTTTTCAATAGATGTCTAACTAAATTATTATCTATAATTGGTCTTGAGTCATACATATTTAGAAATGTTCTTTCTTTATGGATGTAAACATGTTCCCAAAGTATTTCTAGTTGATTGTTTTAACCCATTAAGTTACAAATGATCTTGCAATTCTGCTTAGGAAAGTAATATGAAAAAATCTGAATTTCAAGTTTCTCAGTGAAGGTTTTTGGAAACTCTTTAAAAAGTAAATATCTGGTAGTCTAATTCTCCCACACCTTAGACGTGTAATAAATATTGTGTGTTCTTTTGCCTATACAAAATGAAATATCTCAGTAATCATTTCCAAATATTAAGTAATCTATTTTCATTAATGATTTGTTTTATACTTTATTTTTTAAATAAAAGGATTTGGAGTATATTCTCATCAGGAGCTCATTGCAAGTTAGTCGGTGTTCTAAGACCTTCATATGTGTGTGTGTGTATACAAACATAAATATATACCACACGTGCACACACACACACACACACACTATATTACCTCATTCAACATTCAATATTCACAATAACCGTAATCACTGTGTGACTTGAAACTCTGGAAGACTATATTTTCTATATAATACACCAACACAGCAGTATAACATATCTTAGGGAAACTTACAAAAATTAAAAACTTCATTTTTCCTTGCTTTAATTTAAATGAATATTCATATCATTTTTGGGAAATTCCCTCAAATAAGAAGGCCATTCTCAGTTTTTAACAGGACAAAACCAAGAGAACTGTACTGTTCAGAAACCAAAACTCCATTTCTGTGATGTTCACTATTCACTAGCAGTAGTTACAAATATAAACGCATTGCATTTCCCATTTATGGTCCATAGATAATTAACATCTATTTTTTTTAAAAAAAATGCTTAACAGTTGATTAAGCAAACAAAAGTTAGTACTTAACCTCTTTATTTTCAATTTTTTTCTTATTTTGCCAGATTTGTTAAGAGTTGTAAAGGTTTTGCTTCCACTTGCCATGCTATCAGATTCATGACATTTAACACGATGGACTTAAAGAATTATATGTTGGTTTTATTGAACATTTCATGGTAAATTACTATCTATAAAAAGAAGCCTAAATTAATCTCAAATAAATGCCATTTTTTCCCCACTGAAAGTGTTGAATTAGCTTAGTTGGAATGAAAATTCAGCCTTTATTCTCCTTTTTAGAAGATTTATTTTGCTGTAACATGCTGCCAAAATGCCATCCTACATTGGATAAATATAAATATTTCCCACAAAGTATATTTGTAGAAACAAACAATACTATAAAAGCAAAACATAGAATTGGTTTAGAAATAATGACATATAAATTTGTTCCAAATATGACTGTTGTTTAAGAATATTCAATAAAGTAGTTGGAACTCTATGCTTTAAATCTAGAATCATGTGTAAAGATGTATGATGTATGATTAGATAGGCATAAATGAAACTGAACTGTTGAGCCACATCATCATGAATTAAACTTCACCATCCCTAGAAAATTCCATGATTCCTTATGGTCTTTGCTATATTTGATTTTAAGTTGTTGATGTCCTATTTGTTTTCAGTATTTTTCTGAGCAGATATGAATTGAGATGTTTGGTGTGCTCCAAACTAAGGAATTTGACATTTCATGAACTGTCTCCATTAGAGGTGATGTGCATGGAAACTTGAAAAAGCTTCATATTTGTTACTACATTAGCAAAGTAAAATAAATAAATGAATACAAGAAATGAAATGCTTACCCCTGGCTACTATTTAAATTTTAAAATTATTTACATAGAATTATTTTAAATTATTACATAGAATTATTCACAATGAAGCTCTAACACTAAACTTTGAATATTTATATTACATGCAATTTGAAATTTTCTGGGTGACACTAATGTAGTAGATTTCCTTGGTTGAGAAATAATTTGGGATCTAATAATATTTGTAATTTGTGACCTTGTAATTGGGAAAAGCCACTAGTTTTACATATGTGAAAAATTTGACCTTTAATGAATGTGTCATTATGTTTGCTGTTTAAAAATTCCTAATTAATCACTTTCAAGTTAATGCTAAACATTATCTTTTTTGTATTTATTAAAATTTATTTAAATATATTTGATCTGAAAATTGTGGTTTTTTTTAATACTCTAATGATTACATGGTTTCTTATCAGAATGGAATTTATTGTAATTGTGGCTTTTTTATATTGAGATATAACATGATATTTTATCATAGTGGTTTTAAATGTTGTTAGTTTCTTGAAACTCTTTTTAAAATATAAAAAAAGATACAGTTAGACAAAGTATAAATCTGTCCTGAAAATTTGCGGGGAAATCATGAATTGCTAAGTGGGATCTTTCTAACATATAAAAAAGTGGTGCAATGAAAAAGTTCACCCAGAAAATTGGTTACCTTTTATTATAAAAGTGTTACTTTTACATGAAACTATAAAATAAAATAAATAAGATTTTCTTTCTTTAGATAGACTCTAGTTTATTATTCTGTTTATAAACTCAGACATCTTGCAGTTTTCTTATTGGATATATGTTTTAACAATCAATATTAAATGAGTTCCTCTTGATTATTGCTACCTTTGCTGATATCATTGAGATAAAACAGTTTTACATGTCAAAAGGTATAAAAACAAAGCAATTTTTATCAATATGGTAAGTTTCTCATATAATATTTTCCAACTCTAGCGGTATTTTAAAACAGCCCAAGAAGTTAAAAAAAAAATGGGGTAAATGAGAATGATTTGATTTATAATAGAATTTGTAATATTTTGTCTATATAATGTTAACATAAAAGAGCAAATAAAAGAACAAAGTGTATATTCATTTCATAAATCTTATTGTAAACATTTCTATTATCTAATGGGAAAGTGGACCACTGTCATGGTTTCTCCAGGAGTATGGAGGTGGATGCAGCTCTGACACATTTACTACGATTGGTATGTGGACCCTATCAAACAAAATTAAAACTCTGTTTTCTATCCTAAAGAATCCATGACTAGAAAGACTGAAGTTTAATGTCAAATAGAAATTATCTGGCAGGAAATGTTCTAGAAAATTTACAATAGACAGGCACAAATTACAAGAACGAGGCCAAAACAAGAGGATTAAAAATGAAACAGAACTGGGATGGAGTTGGAACAAATGTTATAATTGAAAAATAGAGACTCTATTAAGCACCAAAGATGAAACTAGAAAATCTATTTTTTTCTTCATTACTCATTATCTTCATAAATACATGTTTGGTCACACTATTATCAAGCAAAATAAAGTAAAGTTTACAATTTGGATACCTTTTATTCCATAAGGAAAATCAGGTAATGTTTAATAAAGCAGCTAATTAGCTTATTTTAAGGCAATATGGTACTATTTTCTGAAAGCAAGATCTCATAATTTCACATTTTTGCTTAGAATAATGAAGTTCTGTTTACACAGAAAATCACTATTAATAACTTGTTATTAGGCACACATTATTATAATTTTTAGTAAATCGAACATCAGTTCTTACTACTTTAAAATTATAAAACAACAGCTAGTATTTAATAATAGAACTGAAACACTAGATTATTTATAGCATGCTTTGTATTATTTGAGCACACCACAGACAAAATTTCAGAAAACTTTGTGAACTAATCTTGAACAGAGTCAGGCTTGACATCATTTCCTGTCTGTCTGCCTTCACAGCTATCCTATAACTAGGTAGGGCATAGGAGAAAAGCTAGCATCCCTAGCTTTTCACTGTTTATACAGTGAAGCTTAGTCCTGTTTCCACAGCCTCTCCATTGACCTGGACTATGTATCAAGCTCAAAGTCCATTATGTTGAAAATTTGTGCCTAACTGCATGTTCCTATGCCAATTACTAGACTATGTATTGCTCACACATATTCAATATTCATTTTCTCCAGAAGTCTATGATGTTATTTGATGTGGGAATTATGCTTTTTCATGCCCTTTGATTGAAATTCACTGGGATTCTTTGAATCTGCTGGTGTTCCTAGTTCTAGAAAGTTCTCAGTCATTATTCCTGTAAATATCATTCTTTTTCTCTATACTTTCTCCTTTATTCCAATTATATATATATATATAATCTTTGCACACTATCCACTATCCACCATGTCACTTAATCTCTCGTTTTTTTAATGTTCTCATGTCTTTGGTATGCCTTTTGGATAATTTATTTTGAGCAAAAGCTAAAGAAACTGCCTAAAACAATGTTTTTAGCATATTAAATGTCAAATCCATGATCTGTCCATTAAATTGTGCAACAATTCCATGTAATTCTCTACCTTTGAAGTGAATTAATCAAAATATGAAAATTCACATATTTAATAAGACTTTATGAAAATCCTCCATTAGGCCACAAGAAAACTCCAGGTCTAAAATTTGAACAACTAACTTTAGCCAGATCAGAGAAAATGAATACCTTTCATATTCCTGTATTATGAAATATTATTCATATTTTCTTTTAAATTTATGAGACATGTCAGTTGCTTTAAAATAAAATCTAAACTGATCCATTTAAACTTGAGTGCTTTAAATAATTACCTTATTCAGGCACTGAATTTTTAAATAGCCCTTTCTTTCATAAATGGGCACAATATAGAGATCTTGTTGATAAGAGCATTAATTAAATGCTGCATGAGAACAAATATACTCTGAACTGTCACTTGGATTTCTCAGAGAAGTCATTAAAGTGCATATATTCATGGAAAAATTAAAACAGAAATAAAGAGAGCACAGAAATAAGGAGTAGACATTTTGAACACAATTCTCCACAATTGTTAAACATTTCTTCCTATTCTGTGAGCAAAGGAACTGATGACCTTTGTCCATAACATCTTTTCAAATATGTTTGTGTAGTAGACAGCCTAGAGAGACAGAGATAGTGCCAAAGTCCAGTTATATACAGCCCAGTATGATAGTGATAATATTTTACTCTGGGACCAAGATCAGGAAAGTTTAATAGCCATTAAAAATGGTTCTTATCCCCAGGCTTGAGGTTTCTTTCCTGTACTATAATACATTTTGTGTATATTTCTGCTGATATTTTTGGTTGTTGTTGTCCCATAGGAATGTAGGCTTAGGATATAGATTCAAACACAATGAATTCTGGCTAGTGTTAGCACAGTGAATAATACGCTCTCTTTTGTCTCTGACCAAGTAATCTCTTGATTTTTCAAATATCTGGAAAATTGTGAAGGGCTAATCTCTTAGCTGACATGTAAAGTAAAATTTTATAGTTGACATTTCTTGAATCATAACAACTGAACAACCATAATGGTAACAATAATAACTATAGTACTTACAAATAACAAAGAGACCATTCCTTACCAGATATCTTTCTAGGTTTTTTCAAGATATATTAATTCATCTTAGTTTTATAATAAAGCTATAAATTAGTCCTATTATGCAGGTTTGGAATTGAGGCAGATAGGTTAAATAATTTTTAAAAATCACACAGCTAATAGATGGCAAAACTGTATTTAAATATAGGCCACAGATCTCTGGTTTATGATTTCAACCAATGTCACATAATTAGTAATTAAAGGAACTCTTCTAATATTGACTGTCACAGGCTACCATGTTTTAAACTCATGCTAGTACAGACCTTGCCAAGGAAATCAGATCACTTACCTCCAAATCCTCATTTCCTTATGAAATCATTACTTTCTAACAATCATTACCAATTATTTTATCAGTCAGTATTCATATGCAGAACAAAATAAATACACTCAATTTTAAGTAGAAAAGAATTTCTCATAGAATATAGATTTCATATAGACTCATCAAAAATATATGGAAGGAAGTTTTAGGTTAGAGAAGTCAAATATGTGCTGCAGAATGGTTATCAAGAAAACTGGTACCTCTTCTATAAGAAGACCACAGTGTGAGACAGATACCATAGCCACAATAGATCATCATTCCAAGGCAAATCTATACTTTAGAGCCATAAATATAATGGTATGTTTAAGTCATAATCCAAATGAACAAAATGTATGTTGTTATGTTGCCTTTAAAGTTCTATAGAGCTGTAAAAATGGTATTTTCACTATAACTCCTGAAATTAGACCCAAAATCTCCTAGACTGTACTTCATAGCATGAACAACAGAGCAAAAGATACCTTTCTTTCTCTAGTTTTTCATTATTTCAATTCTTGGGTAAATTTAAACAATTTGTCTGAATCCAAATCAAATCCATAGCTCTAGATGCACAGGACTGAAAAATCAAGATATTAATGTGCTGACTTCAACAGAACAGGAAAACGTATTCAAAACATGGTGGGATAGATGTAGGCAACAATTCCACCAAATTATATATAATGCATTGATTTCTAATCCAACAGATATAAAATCTGATCCAACTGAACAAAAATATTGAAATCCTCATTATATAAAACAGGTCTTGGCAGGGACAATAATTATTATCTTCCATGTTGTAGAAAAACTAATAAAATAAGGGTACTAATTGGAGGTGGGAACTATTTGGTGAGAAAATGTAGTGTATGATAAGGCCAAAGTAATATTTTTGTGTCACTGTGATAAAATAGCTGAGAAGATTTACTTAAATAAAGGGAAAGTTTATTTAACTCACAGTTTGGAAGTATAAATGGGCAGCTCATTTGTTTGGGCAAGCTTATTGAAAAGTTGAAAATGGTACATGGTGGTGTATGATATGAATATATATAAGAGCTACAGCTTACATCATGAGCCAGGAAGTAGAGAGAGGACCAGGTG